TGGACAACAGATAAATGCATGAATGGAGACAGCAGTTAGTGTAAGACATTAAAAAAATAATAATGATGTATAAATTATCAAGGGTTCATGAGGGAGGGAGGGAGGGTGGGGGAAGTGGGAAAAATGAGCTGATACCAAGGGCTCAAGTAAAAAGAAAATGTTTTGAGAATGATGATGGCAACATATGTACAAATGTGCTTGACATAATGTGTGGATGTATGGATTGTTAAAAGAGCTATAATAAGAGCCCTCAATAAAATGATTAAAAAAAAGTTTGTGGAGAAATGGAATTGAAATACAATGAAGTTTTCCCATGAACTGTTTGAAGCTCCTTCAGATGAGAACCGAAGTATATGTACACACATAGAGATATATCGTGAAAATTAAGTTCTGATGCAGACTAAATACAGTAAGTACTTAAATACACAGCAAGCTTCTTACTTTGGGAGAAGGACATGATAGAGAACTTTCACATTTTACTCTGTGCATATCTGTACTGTTCCTTTTATGATTTGTACTACTGGTAGAATTTTAAAAAGCAATAATTTTTTTAATGTCTCATTCAGTTTCCAGAAAAAGATTGGGTCCATTCTGTTCTTGGAACATTGATCAAATCAATTGAGAGTACAGGACAAGTATAAATTCCCAATGTGTTCAAATAAAGCACTTAAAGTTATGCCCTCTGCTTGGAATGGTCTTCCATTAGGTGTAGTTCATTCCCTCCTTCTTTGACGTTTCCACTAACGTAGCAACTCAACACAGGGACTTTCCCTGACTTTTCAATAGAAAATGGCAACTTTTTACACCTATCCGCACATTCTCCAATTGCCTTGCCCTTGCTTTATTTTTCACTAGAAATTTAAAGTCTCTGAGTACCATCCTTATCTTTAAAATAGAGATAACATAGTGTTTGCCTCATAGGTTTTTGTTAAGTTTAATTGAGCTGGAAGACCTTAAGTTAGGGACTGACTCACAGGAAGAATTGAAGCTTCTTAATCTTTGTTGTTGTTGTTGCTGGTCTACCTGCCCCCTAATACATTTGCAACACCAGGAAGCAGGCTTTGTTTTGTTCACTAGTGTATCTCCAATGCTTGGATGGTCCTTATCTGTAAATAAGGATATCGTGTTGAAGTCTGATTTAGTATTGCAGCCCATGTGTACAAGGAGCTGAGACTGCAAGAAAAAGACAAATTATTTTCAATGAAAGAAAGCTTTCTACACGCTAGCAGGATTCACTGTGATAATGCAATCTACTTTGAAAGTATAATATTTAGCAGAATAACTCCTATTCGCTTCAAAGGGGGAAGAAGAATACTATTTAACTCATTAATTTCTTAAAAACCAAATACAGCACCATAAGCTAAAACACAATATAGAATGAAACAACAAAAGCACAACTTACTTTTCATTCCTGCTTTTGATGCATGGCTGGTACAGGACCTTGATGGCATTCCTGACAGAACTGGAATCTTCCTCCAAAATGTCTTCCAACAGGGGGAATTTCTGGATACTACTGAGATTTCCCAAAGATTCAATCACCAAACTGTCGGAGTTTAAAAGCCATAACTAAAGACAGAAAGAGAAACACCCAAGTATGTACATGTAAAGAATATCGCCATTCTATCTTTTATTATGAACAGAAAACCCCACTGCCACCTAGTCACTTCTGATTCCTATCTCCTTGGATTTCCAAGACTATGTTTACAGATTGCCTCATCTTTCTCCCTCAAAGCAACTGGTGGGTTTGAACCCCCTTCCACACTGTCGGTTAGGCTTGGACTGCTAATCACAGGTGGAATATTCAGGCCCATTTCTCTGTGAGAAAGAGGAGTCTATCTGTTCCTGTAAAGGTTCATAGTCTGAGAAACCCTGAGGAGAGTCACCATGTGCTGGAATTGATGATATGGCAGTGGGTTTTTTGTTTTGTTTTAGTTTTAAATATACCATCACTCCAAATGGGAAAAAAGAAAAATCATACCAATTACCAGAAAAAAAAATAGGCAAATGATGTACCGAATTTTAAGTCAGGAAGGCCTTTCAAATAATAACATTTGATGAAGAGCCCAACCTTACTAAATTGAGAATAAATATAGGCTAGAAAATAATTAATGCATATATTAAAATCACACAACTCACTGCCATTGAACTGTTTTCTAGTCATAGTGACTCTATAGGACAGAATAGAATTGCCCTTATGGGTTTCCAAGACTCTGCAGGAGTGGAAAGCAGAATTAAAATACAGTGGAATTTTCCCACAAACCTTTTGAAGCCCCTTCCTACATGGATCAGGAGTCCTGGTGCCATCGGGTTTATGAGTCACGTTGGTAACTGCAAGGTCTGCAGTTCGAAATGACCAGCAGTTTCTTGGGAGAAAGACGAGGCTTTCTCCTCCCATGTACAATTACAGTCTTGGAAGCCCATGAGTAGAGCAGGTCTCCCCTGTCCTATAGGGTCACTATGAGTCAGAATTGCCTCGATGGCAGTGAGTTTGGATTTACTGTGAGAGGCTGCCTAAATTCCTGTGGGTTTCCAATACTTGAAATCTTCACGGGAGTAGAAAGCCTGATTTGTCTCCTGAGGAACCCCTGGTGGTTTCAGACTGCAGACCTGGGTCTTAGCAGCCCAGCTCATAACTACCCCAACTATGCCACCTGGTTCCCTACACATATATGAAGAAGCTTCCAAGCTGTGCAGAAAGTGCTGTTACCTTTTCATTCTTCTTTCCCCACACTTCCCAAAGGCTCCTCATAGAGGTTAGGATTTACAATGCATCTTTTAGGGGGACAAAAGTCAATCCATAACACCAGGGTCAATCAGTAACTGGCAGTGGGCTGGGCTGACCAGGGCAGGAATGAGTAAGAACAGAAGACACTAGAGCGTGTGGGTACTCCCTGTACCAGGTGGAATCTGTTAGTAAAGGGCAGTTCTCTAGAGGGGGAGTTAACTGTGAGCCATAGCAGCCAAGAGGTAATAACATCCACGGCTGGGCCACCAGCCCAGTAAGGGCGATGTGGAAAGGCAGGGATCCCAGAACATCTACTTTAGGGTAAATTGTGGCTGCTTTTGTTAGAAGATGCTAAGTGGGTTCCGACTGCTGGCAACCCCCTGTACAACAGACTGAAACACTGCTCGGCCCTGCCCCATCCTCACAATTGTTGCTAGAGCCCATTGTTGCAGGTACTACATCAGTCCATCTTGTGGAGACTCTTCCTCTTTTCCACTATCCCTCTCCTTTACCAAGCAGGATACCTTCTTTCCAGGGACTGGTCTCTCTTGAAGGAGATTTACGTGTGTGTATGTGTGCACGTGTGCGTGTGCATGCAGTAAAGGGGGGTAGGGGTGGAGGTTCTGGAATCCAAGAGCATCTACTATAAAGGCAAATTGCCGTTGTTCGGTGCTGTTGAGGTGGTTCTCACTCATAGCAACCGGCTTCTCTGTAAAGGGATGTGGTTGTCTGCTTCTTTAAAGATTACAGCCCTGGAAAAACCTATGAAGTAGTTCTGCTCTGTTCTTCTTCTTTTTTTTAATCATTTTATTGGGGGCTCATACAACTCTTATCACAA